TTGCTGTTTAATGCATGTGTTGCAGAAGCGCTTTAGAGACTTAGTCAAAAATACAACGGCAATACTCTCATAATTTTCTATCTCCAAAAGTTACAAGCAGTAGATTTTTAAATATTAAGGAGATAAGAATGAAGAAATGATTGCCGAGGGCAAATACATTGGTTTTCTACACATTGAATTGAATTGAACAGAAAAAATAGTATTTGACTGGCTAAATTGGGTCAACAACGACCACAATAGTGAACACATTTAAAAGGATATTTACAGTTTAAGATTTATCAAGCAAGATCCAACATGCACAAGAAGACGATGGAGTATAGGACAGTTTTTTTCATGATTTCCTGATCTCTGAGAAGATAAAAAAGAGGAGAATGGCAAAGTGCTTGTACTAGAAAAAAATGTGTTTCTGTGTGAAGAACAGTATCAGGTACCTTACAGCCAGTAATATTATTTTTCTCTGTATTATTGATATATGAGGATGAAAAATTATTATTGTCTATTGAGAAAAATATTTAAAGAAGCCTATTTTAAAATGTTTTCAGTGCTATTTTTATATTTTTGGTGTAAAGATAGAATAATTACTGTAATTTTATGATAACAATTGTTTGATAGTTGTTAGACAATTAATAAAAAATTCTTTATATTTTATAACATCACGTGCCTATTTTTTAGATTTTGAAATTGAAGATTCTTTTCTGAGTTGAGCCATAGTAAATGCAGCATATGTGCATTGTCTCATTAATTATTATGTTTATGTAAAAATAGATGTACCATATTTATCTTGATTTAAGATAGGAAGATCCCAGGTGAGCTTCCTTGCTGTTCCCATGCTTAAACAATGCAGAGAAAATGGCCTGGGATCTAATTTTCCCTCCTTACTGAATTGTGGTCATGACAACCATCTGTACAAGGATAAGCTTTACAGTATTGTCTTGTTCAAGGGTATCATTTTGACGTTATGTTGTGTGATACAATAAGGTAATGGAAAATAATACTGTGCAGCAGTTGGTGCTCTCATCTACATATGCTGCAGACTTATACTTCTGAGTTTTTTGTGTGTTTTGGTTTGCTTGTTTAATATTTATGTGGCCATTGTGGCAAGGGAAGTATGTAAACATAACACCAGCCTTTAAAAAATATGTTAACATTCAAGAGAAGGGCCGTCAGCTAAGGGAAATGCCACTGTTTCTGACTCTTCGAATTTATCCATCTCTACTGGGTACTAGGGAATTTACATTTTGAATATGAAATTTATTTTTTTTCTGCTGTGCCAGCAAGGCAAGGTACCATTTTAAAAAGCCAAGACTTTGCATTTGCATGTCTTTATGGCAAGAGCTTGCCTAACAGTATAAGGACAAAAATAAACATAAGTTAAGACAGTGCCAGGTTGTTATTCTTTAGTTCCTTTCTGAAACAGAGCTATTTATAAGATGAGATGGAATAAAGCTGAACATATCTGTTACTAAGCAGAATCTGATAGATAATCAAAGACTATTTTTTTCCCGAAACTTCTACACAAGAAAGCCCTTACTGACATTGGAGGGAATGTAATTTAATTTGGCTTTGGTCACCCTGTGCCTCAAACTACATACATAATCTGTCTGGAACTGAAAACACAACAGAAGAGATTGCTTAAACTGTATGTTAAAATACTTTTGAGGTATTAGTGGAAGGCAAAAAGAAAGTAAGGTAGGAAAGTTCATTCTAAAGTCATGACATACAGTCTTGCCATATGTTAACAGAAAAAATAACTGGTTGTTTTACTACTAGCACTGAATAGAAAGCAGACACAGATTCTAGCTTGCTCCAAATCAGATTAATCATACATGTCTCATAGTATAGTAATAGGAATTGTGGAAAGAGCGTTTAAACTAGGTTTTTTACTATTGCTGTTGATTTCTTTGCCCCACATAAGCCAGTAATAACAAGGATCCTCCTCCTGCTGCAAATGCAGGTTTGCCGATCTGAGCATTTTAACTTGAAAACCATTTGTAAAGGATCATTCGCATACTTCCAGTAATATCCCCAACCCTGTAATAATCTGGTCAGGTTGGGCAAAGGAACAATGCAAGTGACTCTTCCAGTGCAAATTTCTCCTCCTAGAGTACAAGTTGTTGCACTTCCCACCTGTGTCTACATATACCTCAGCCATTTGATTTACTTGGTCTAGCAGATGGATCAGATCGATAAGAGTGATGCAGTCACTGCTGTAGAAAGGGGTTTCCTGTCAGATGGAGATTCAGTGACCTGCTAAATTGGTTTTAAAAAAAAGGATGTTATAGTGTGAGTTACTAAATTAAGGTGGTCGGGGGCGAGATGTGCATGTGGGAGATATACACGGCTTGGAATATTTCTAGATATGATTAATAGCTGGCCTTAAAGGATTTCGAGTTTAAAATGGTTTTATTTCGTGTTTGGCTATAAGCTCATATTCTACTTCTCTAATATTACAGGAGAAAGATATTATGTGGAATCTGGGTTGCAGGAAAATATTGACATGGTCTGCTGTTTGTAGTAATAAAGCTACTAGTAATAAGCTTTGGAGGTACATTCTCACCTAACTAGTGCAACCCCTGACACAGCAAACTAATCAGTTTATCAAACCCTAATTATTCTTATGTAACATAGAGATTCCTACTTTCTTCTCATGCTGCCCTTAGATAATGCTATTCTAGCAGCAACTCATAGCTCTGTGACAAGCGGTGTTTTTTGGATAGGATGGGGCCATGGAGCTCTGCAATTCTGCAGTGGGGTTACACAAACTGCTTTTGGGAGCAACATTCTAAGGACAAGGAGGGTAGAGATAGCATGCATCATCTTGTTGGTCAGGAGCTTTTCTGTTGGGTTTGTGGCTTTTTTTTGATGGTGGTGGTTAAACAAACAATTTACATTATAGGGGAGTGATTCCACTTTGAGAAGTTTTGATTTAACTAATTTCAAAGATACAGCAGGACAAGGCTGGTTAAGATCGTCCAAGTATGACACTAAATAAAGTTTTGAGGTAGCCAGTTATTGATGTTTAATCATGTTTATTCTGTTGTCGACTATAAAGTTTGGTTTTTAACTCAGCTAAACACTGGTTCTTACACCACTATTGTGATCTGAAAACAAAAACTTGCTGCTGTTCGCAGTATGTGAAAATCTGTGCAGAGCAGCCAGGGGCTGCTTGTGTTGTACAAGCCTGTTTTTAGCAGTAGACGGTCACAATTACTGAACGGTGTCTAGTCCGCACATCCAGGGGAGAACTATCCCCTAAAACCTGTATTTAAAACAACAGTGAACAAGAGATTTCGATCATAAATACCGCTTTATTCTGATGTAAGTAGGAGTTGGCCAGACTAAGCTGCACCCCGGTGCTCTGCGCAGGCTTCCCTCCCTCTGCCTCTTCCTGGGATGGCAAACTGATCCAGTGACTGATTTTCTGTGGCTTATCCTGGGAGGGAAGATGGCTTTGAAAACTCAGGCAGCATGAGCCAGACAGAGACAGGAATTGGAAATCCCCCCTCCAGTCGACCGAATTCATCCCTTCCCCGAGCATCTGTTATACCAGTTGGCGATATCCGATCCATAAATATTTGCATTTCAGCATTGCGTGGGGGCCTGAGCAGCGCCCAGTAACTGCCCTTATGGGGTGATGGCAAGCATTATAACGTTTGGGACTGCTGTATTGGGCAATTGCTGCTTTCATGGGGACTAACACTGCAGTCTAAGAAACTATTCACAAAACCAGCCTGTTCTCAGTGGTAGTGCCTGTTCTGCTCAGCTGATACAGCTACCGCTAAAAACAGAAACTGAGGTTTAGCTCGTCTCCTAAAATGGCAGCACACCGCTGCCCGTCACTGCAGAGGAGCCCGCTGCCCCCTGCCCTCGGTACCAGCCAACCGACCCGTGGTAACAGGGCCGGGCCTGGCCTGGCCGCCCAGCCGGGCGCGAAGCCGGGCTCCCCTCCTGCCCTCCCCGCATCATTCCAGATGCCTGGCCCGACCCTCACCGATGCGGGGAGCTGCGCCGCGGCCCCCAGCCCGGGCAGGGGAGGTGACCCACAAGGCCGCTGAACGCGGCGAGGCGTGTGGCACTACCAGGACCCGCTCGGCCTTGCCGCACCTGCGGGGAGAACACAATAGGCCGAGGCTCACAGGGGACCTC